AGCTCAGGTATCATCTCCGCAATGAGAGTAGATAATGCTGGATCATTTGCACGGCAAGCGTGGAATTCTTATTCTTAGCGGTGTGCTTTTTACTTACTCAAAAAATATGAGACGCCCGTTTGAGGTTGCATGAAATTAATCAGTGGAGAAACAACGCAGTCAACATTAAAACATAGCATACCGAGTGTCCCGTAAAAAATACCAGGCGGCTGTTATACTTTCTTTTACTATGGCGATATATTTTTTTTACTTAATTTAATTGTCAGATTATTTTGTCTGAATCCAACGATATATAATTTACATTACATAATGATAAAATACTCGTTAATTTTATTTTTCAACAAAATTAAAATGGGTTAAAATATGTCATAAAAACAATTATGTCATCACTCATCATATTGAAAAATATCATTAGAGATAAAAATTCGGCATTAAATCTACTTTACTTCCAAGTTAAACACATAATATTTTCGCCGATCAATTTTCAATTTATCATAATACCAAACAAATAAAGCTATGTCGTCTGTGGTTATTATGAATCGAGCGTTATTAAGTAAATAACTTATTAGGTACCTATCTACACAGTAATCACCATATTGTTCCTATTTAAATCCATAAAAATAACTTTTCACATTAACTCCGCCAGAAAATATTGAATCAGCAAAGCAGTCTGTAATTCATTACCAGAAAAATCAAAGAAAGTACATCAGCAAACATATAAAAAATCTATTGATTACCGGGCTGAGAATAAAATTATGTCTTTTGGTATAATTTTCTGAATTAAGTAGGTCACTATGGTCAATATATGCGATGACAAGAGCTACATTGAATGTCTACAACAACATTTATATTGGAAAGTATCTAAAATTAGAAGCATTTTTAAGCGGCAATCGAATGGATGTCCTACTAAAAATCACGGTTTTAGAAAATGAACAAATTAAAAAATTTCTAATGGAGGCCTCTGATGATACATGTTTAGGTACAAAGGTAATTATTAATAAAATATTTTTGTAAACGAAGATTACTTACTATTATTATTTTAGGTGGCAATGATTTTGCCATATCTGGGTCGAGGTGGTGACTTCAAATAAAAATTGGAGATATTGAAGAAATGGGAAATAGATTGCTGATTATTCTGCCAACTACAAGAACAAAGATAAAAGATCCTTTATTGTAACCGAATATTTAGACACATATCGGAAATATAGTACTGCAAGACTTACACAAACATATAGTAACAGATTCTTTTTAATGTTCAAATGGTAAAGCATATAACCAATTAATAGGAATTCATACATTTGGGAAAATGTCAAAACAAGTTGATGCTTTTTTCAAATTGGATGCTCACGAATATACCGGACATTATTTCCGTAGAACTTCAGCTACACTATTAACAAATTCAGAAACTGATATCACAACTTTAAAAATACATGGTGCATGGGATCATGGAAATCAACGGTAGATGAAGCCTACATTGAGGAATCCATAAAGCGTAAATCAGTTGTTAGCAAAAAATTCCTTACTGCAAGTACATAAACTACTGGAAGCGATTTCTTAAATAATCAAACCACTTTGGAGGATTCAATAGTTCAATAGTTCATAAACCACCTACTAGTGAAAACACTTCAAACTACATAGACGAAGTAAATGTTTCAAAACAAACAGGACAAGGGATATCCCTTACAGTCTATTCTAATTTTTCTATAAATGTTTACAATAAATAAAATTACTTTAGTTAAAGAACAAATTTTAATTTTTAATTTAGCGTGTCTGATAGCTGTCACTAAAACTACGCATTTAATGTCGATCGACGAAAAACATATTATCATGTCACGTGACAGCGTGTGACGTACCAACAGTCTGGTTATGCCTTTAAGCTTTTACATGAAATTTATTATACTGTTTGTAATTAGTTATTTGTGACATCAGTTACCTACTCTTTTTATTGGATGGATTATTTCTGCCACACTGAGAATAAATAAATAAACAGCCCTTGCACCAAAAATGGAACAGTGAAAGGGTTGATTTTATAAATTTAATTTTGCCTACCTCAACCATATTTATCAACTATGAAATATCTCAAACTAAGAAATTAGATACTTTACAACTACACAATTGCACAGTTACGTTTCAAAAAAACTACTATGTTTTCGTTATCAAAAATTTGGATGTGAAATGTGACTGTTTTATTTGTTTTTTTCACAACGTTATGCTAAATATTAGGGAGAGGAAAAATAAGAAAGTGCATACATAAGGGCAACATAGAAATAACAACCATAAAATTAATAATTAATACCTACACATATTGAATGTCAAAGACAAAAATCGTACGGGCTGTATGCTATATCTGTATCTGTTATGCTGGTAACTCATTCGATATAGACATATATACATCTTTAAATTTGTTTCTATGGACGTTGTGAGTATTAACATATTTAAGAAATATATTAAAGGCCAGTTAGTCCCGTTAGACTATCAAATTTTCGTCAAATTTATTTGATCAAAATAGTATGAAGATAGAAACTAACTAAACTATTTTTAATAACGGTTCTCCGTTACATGTAAATATTTCGATCAATCTATTTGAATCGTAATTATATTTAAAAGGAAAAATATTTTTATTCGTAAAACGATTTGTCACACATTTGAATAAATCGAAAATAAACCGTTTCGTTTAACAACAAAACATTATAGGCTTTTGTATCGTAAATTCAATTTTATATGGACAATTTTCAAACTCGACAAATTCAATGGCACGGAAATTTGTCCTTTGCTGTCCCTCACAAAATTAAAAATTGCTACACCAACGATTGTTTTAGATTTTTAATAATTACATTGTGAAAATCTCATAATTTGTTTTTTATGAAGTAAACAGTGTTAAAAGTTATTTTCAATTTATTGCACCAGGGTAGTTAGTTTATTTTAGGTTATTTATAATTTAGAGGAGTTACTATGTTTCTGAGGATGAAGATAACTAGTTTATTTTAGACTAAAAAAAGTGTTTAAGGAATTGGTAGTGTAATACTAAATGTTAGGAAAATGTGTAGAATCTAACAGTGTATAAGGAGGCATAAACTTACAAAGCAAATAAATATTCGGTCGCAACCGCTGGGCGCAGGACTAGTCCGCTCGGAGTGAATTTGGTGTCATATGTAAGTCAGATGGTAGCGGTGTCAACTTTTTGAAAACAAGCCGTTTAGGACATAGGAACTTCATAGAAATAATCTAAAGAATTACAATCTTTATTTTCGAAATATCTTAAGGACCCTATACAAAGTTGTGCTTAAAACACGTTTGTAAATATTATGTTCTATGAAACCCGACATTTTTCGCTATTTTAGTTAGTGATATAATTTGTGCCATTTTTATCAATTATATTCTCATTACATTATTTTAGTGCAACCTTAATAAATAACTGCAGGATTTATAAAACCGTTGAAGCAGGACAAATAAACACTAAATAGTGTGGACGAACAATTAGGTCTACCGTGAGGATGTGTCATCTGAGCATCTGCGAGTTCTATCTGATTATGAGGTGATCAAAAAGATTAAGGATTTCGCTAACCATTGAGTGAGAAAATGAATAAGGCAATAAAAATTCTCTTTTTTTTTAATGTTTGTACAATGTAATGCATCGAAATTTGAATTTATTCAACACTTTTTTAAATAAATTTTTAATGTTTTTTGATTTTTTTTAATAAATAACAGATGTAATTTTTTTAATAGGGTCTAAACCACAAGTTCAATGTTGAAGCGAGCAAATACCCGATGAGTAACGTAGAGATGTAAATAGAAATAGCAGCAATATTCGAAAATAAAGAAATGTTAATTCAAGTACAACAAATAAAATACAAATCAAAATATGGGCAACTTGCATATATTTTTTTACATGTCTTGAAATAATCCATATTTTCATATAATCATGTAATGAAAATATTGGAAATATCGTAGAGGTTAATTAACAATTAATTATTAAAGTTTGGAGCGCAAAATAAATGTTTTAAACGGATGTTCGCTAAACTCGCTAAAGCGCTGATTCGTGGCCCCAATTTTTTTTCTCTGCGGTCCCGACAATAATATAAAATACAGCTGTGAGAAAGACTTTAGCAACAACCAGTGTCCTGTCGCCAACCGCCATCAATAAAGGAAATATTGAAATAAATTTGTCTGAAATGTAGCAATTTCAACATTCAAGATAATACCACATGCGATCTGTTCATGCGCAAAATTCGAAACCTAAAAGCATTACTATTCGCAGACACGAACTTTAGCAATTAGAATTTGCATTAATTTAAATACCTAATTCCTAAAAGCAACCATTGCAGTTTATTTCTGCATCCAAGAAAGGAGACACTTGTTCAGAATGTGCAGACTTAGACCGCGCCCGCCCATGCAATAATGAATTGCTTTGAAATTTTCATTCATAAAGTCCAACTACACCTACTCCCGCCCCGAACGGATTAAATTACACCTTATCAAATTAGAATTATGCGGGCTTATTTTTAGTTTCTATTAGCGTCCATAAGTGAGCTATAAATGAACAATAAGGGAAATGTCGATGAATTACTAATCGTAAAAGAAGGTTGGATAACTATACTGTTAAATAAAGAATAAATGGTATATTTTTATTGGTAATAATTGAAAGGGATGATGTTTTTTATCGAATTACAATTTGAATTTGACGCTAACAAACATTATGTTAGTACAAGTTATACAACCAACAATACACTTGTATTTAGACATAAGTTGCAGTGTGCAGGCAGAGAATAAAATTTATTCAATTTATATTTAATGTTCTAATAGCCTTTTATGTAAGTATGTATTTATCTTTAGTCAATATAATTGTAGGTACATATTTTATCTAATAAATAGATAGTAAATCATTCTAGGAATTTAGGACAATAATTTAAAGAGATAACGATAATCCTTTAATAAGTATCTTATTGTAAAATATTACTCATACTCATATATCTTTGCTTAAACGTGTAAGGAACATATTAATACATATGTAGAAAATTATCATGCGAATTTTTTTTACTAGGTATTTAAATTTTCGCGCTTGGTACAACAGAACATAAATAAATATGTTATCAAAATTTGCATTTGCTACCGTAGAACCTAAAACAACGTACAGGTAGATGGCACATAAATAACTGAAAACCAGGCAAAAAAAGTTGTAACTTGTGAATGGGAACGAAAACGGTGAGTAAGAAATGTAAATTATAATTAAATTAGAAAGGTGAATTGAGCAAAACCATAAATCAGTTTAGATGAGACATTCTACCTACCGCGTAGCACCCAGTAGCACCTACACCTACCGAATTTCAGCTACCATAGCATAGAAAATCTTCAAAATAGCAAACGCAAACACTGCTCTATCGAGTTGAGCTGACGTAATACCTGTGGTAATACTTTTCACCACTCAGACACCTGTCATTCGTGTTTTTTAAATAGTGATGGTTGTGTTTGTGTTTACATAAACCGCGAGGCAACAAATCAATAAAAACCAGGCAGCGTGACAGCTGATAAGGTTGATAAGGACGTTCAGCGGCGGTGCGGTATCCAATGCCCTATATTTTAGTACGTGGCAATTTGGCGGCCTATGGGCAGAGGTACCCTTGGAGAGTGCTCGTTTCTGGTTTAAAAGCTGCAGATATAGAACAGTTAAATAGGTTTGCATCGGGAGGTTATTGCGACGATTGCACGATAGTTTACATGCAACATCCTTGCGTTATTTTAACTGCTTTAGAAGTGTTAGGGTACAAAGTGGTAGCTTCTTCGTCGACCAGTGTGAAACAAGACTACAATGAGTACATGTGGACTATGAGAAAGGAATTTTCTGAACCCGAACCGATTGTATCGCCCACTGCAGACACACACGTGAGAGACCATAAAATATCATCTGGAGAAGAGGAGGTATAGAATTTACACAAAGTTAATATTTGACATGGAAATCCCTGCTAGTTTACTCATGGCGTCTGGAACATTTGCATATGTGGCCGTGAAGGCTTCAATACACGCCTTTGACAGTGCAGTGTTTGGTCTCAATGATGACGAACTTAAGGCTTTGGTCAAAAAGTTTTCAGACTACAGAAAAGAAGTTATTAATGGTGTATTACTTAAAGCATCTCCTATAGAGGTGGTAAATGCTCTCGGTCAATTAGGGTATCGGGTGGTTGCCACTACTGGTGAGGCTGAAGTTATCTGGACCATGCAACGTGACCTTTAAAGTTCAATGTACGTCAAGCCCCAGAGTCTTCAATTTATTAGACGTTTGATTTTCAGGTGTTGCACTTTACCATGAAATATTTTATTGCATATTTATCAACATGTCAAGGAAGAAAGCAATAATTTTGTATTTATATTTTCTAATTAAGTGTTGTGAAGTATGAAACATTTTTTACACTTTTATTTTTGACACCCCGTACCTTTAAAATTGCTTGAACTGATATACAGGCTGAATATATTTTTCTGATATTATTACTAAAAAAAGTATAATGTACTGTACCAATAATTTAAACTCTATAACCTGTGATCCTTATTTTATAAGGGTATTTTAGCGTCTAAAAACATATTTTTATTAACCTAGTAAAATTGATTATACTATTGAAAGTAAATTTACATTTTCACTGTGTTTTTCTCTACTAAATAAATGTAGATTAGGTTGTGAATCAAAAATACTTACTTATATATTTGTAATGGCTTTATACCTCATTAGCTACTTTATAGTACTGAGTTTCAAATTAGGTTAAGATAGAGAAAATATCTCCAATTCATATTTTTCTGTATTAGAAATAATTGTGCTGAAGTAGAAAATGTCACATTGTGAGGAGAAACATTGTACCTGTACTGGAACTATAGCTACACAGTCTCTGGATGAACTGGAATTTGAAAGGGGAATATGGTATGCTGCCCAATACGGAGACTTGGAAAGAGTTAAAAAGCTTTTGAGTGGCTTTGGATCGGATCCCAACAAACGTGATGCTGCAGGATACACAGGGTTACATTACGCGGCAAGGAATGGTCATTTAGATGTATGTAAGATCCTGATAGAGAAAGGCGCTGACGTTAATTCAGTCACTAGAGTTGGAAAGGCAACAGCTCTATGTAGGGCATCTTCGGCAGGTAACAAAAAATTTTAAATGATTGTTCTAAACAGTTTTTTGTCATATAGGCTTTTGACAGAAAATTTAAAAATAATTGTTTTGGGTTAGTTTTATAAATATTTTATTTGTTAGGATTCTACGACTGCAAACAAAAGTTTTATGACTAAAATTATATGTTAATAAATTAAATCATGCAAATTGAATTTTTGAAGTTTTATATTAAGCAGCGAGTCATTTTGTTCTTCAAATAAACATGGATCAAATTGTTTTGTTTACATGTAAAATAACACGTTAACATGCAGTTCGACCTTGCTGTGCTATTTTGTAATCATATTATTTATGTTTAGATACTTTATGCTAAATTTTATAATAACTTACATTTCCATTGAGTAATGAAAGTATAAATATTCCAGGAAAGAAAGATATTGTGGAATACTTGCTAAATAAAAAAGCGGATCCGTTTATCCAAGACTCTGATGGAAAAACCGCTCTACACCGGGCAACTGAAAATAAGCATTTCCCAATTTGTCAAATTTTGATAAATACAGCACCATCTCTTAAAGAAGTTGAAGACAACAAAGGACATCGAGCTGATTTAACAAAGATTAATTAGACATATTAAGTATTATTGTTACAGTAATCCTAATTTTATCATATCTAAATTATTTGCACGTGAAATAGATATGTTCAACGCATTCCTGTTTTATTACTAATAGCTCCTCCTTTGATCACCAGCAAAGAGAAATTTTGTAGCTTGTACAGTGATCCATAAATCTTGAGAAAGGTGTTTTTGTTGAAGACAACCAAAATTCTATAAATGGTTACATTTTCAGTAGCTGTTACTTGAATATACAATAAAGAAATATTTGTTATATATTCACACCACGTAGCGCTCCAATAATATATTTTCTGCTGCTTGAAAGGACTTAATTGTAAGACTCCGATTCCATGTTTTTTTTCATACATTGAACTGTATTTGAGATATTAAGATTTCCAAAGTAACTTTGCAGACTAAATTAAATGTATGTGATAATTTGCAACCATTTTTAGAGAGTGCCTCAAAATTTACATAACATCGAGGGTGGTAAAAATATAAAGTAACCCAGGTTTAAAACAGGAGAGAGACTTCATCAAATAAAGCAAATTATTTTAAGCAAAAAATTTCATATGCAGGGTGTTACAAATTAGTAGGTCAAGCAGTTAGCCATATATTCTTTGGACTAAAATGATGGGGTTTTGTTATGCCACTTTTCATTTCGGAGACCCATTTTCAAAATCCATGGTGTCAAAATTAAAATTTAAAAAATGATTTTTATTGATAACTTCGGTGGTTGTAGAGATTTGAAATTTAGCACATATTTTGTTCTTAAGTGAGCACACATTTTGTATCATTTTGGTTTAAAATATCAAAGTTTGAATGGAGGGGAGGGGAATTGTAGTACCCCTGGACTCCCTATTTTTTTTGAGCCTATGCTTTCCAAATATATTTTTTTTAAGATAAAGCTGCGTTTTATTCTATTTTTTTTTCACACTTGTAAGATTTTGCTTTGGGACTCGGTTTACGAGATATTGTTAATTTTTCTGGATACATGACATCAATTTAATAGACGTTAGACTTTAATTTTTTATTTACAATCCGTATCTCCACCACTGAGTGGCATAGTTGTAAACCAACTTACTAAGTTTGTACTCCCAGTTATATAAATCAGCAACTCTAGATTTTGTCACAAAGTCAAACATCCTCAGAGATATTTCAGGAAACATCACAATTTCAACACCCTGTATCTCGTAAAATAAAGTTTTTCTGTGACCTATGTCCACATTAAATTTTTTTGCTTAAAAAAAATCATTCTATCACCTGGTGGTTTCCCAATTAAAACTTGCACCACACTTTTATAAAACCGTTTAAAATTGTCTTCAGTCGTTTTCAAGAAGAATGCAAATCGCAAATATACCCACCGTGCTAATTTAAAAATTTTTAAAGCAACTTGAAATCTATTGACGTTATAGATTTGCTGAAAGTTTTGTCTTATCTCTTTATTATCTACAAAAATATATGTTGTTTAATAAATAAAATAATAAACCTGTATTAATACATTTTATTAATAATATCACAAGATTATAAAATAAAATTATGGATACTATTAAAACTGACTAGTATAACATAATACCCTAACAATATGAGATCAACATATATAACTTGTCAATAAATCCTCTTATAGAATCTCTAACGCTAAATACTTATGAAGTAATGAAGGTAAAGGCAGTGTGGAAATACGAGAAATAAGTTCTCTGGGCCCGATTTGCTTCCTTATAACGATCCTACATAATTCCCTTAAATTTAATGGATTTGTCTTAACGGATATTAAGAAATCACATGCAGGATCCAACGACTGAGTCCTCAAAGCACGCGGATCCCACGTCATTTCTGACAATCGGAAGCCCCCGTATACTAAAAGTTTGACTAGATTTAGATCGCCATGGCGTTTGGCTAGACTGAGGTTATCCACGTAAGCTCTTTCGTCCCTCAGGTTAACGTCTGCCCCGTGTTGAACTAAGGCTGTTGCAGCACTTCGGTTTTCTAGGATTATCGAGTAAAACAAGACACTACCCTGGTAGCTGGGAGCGTTCATGTCGGCGCCATGACGCACTAGTAAGTCTACCAACTGGTGGACACATTTTGCCTCCCGTACATCCTGGACGCAGATGTGGAGGGCAGTCTTGCCATCTATGTGGCTGGCAGCGTTGACATCTGACCCGTGTACGATCAAATATCTGTGAAGAAACTCAATATATCTTGTCTTACTACAAGGAGTGCGAACTTTTAATAAACAAAAAGAGATTGGATAAAAAAGCAAGCAATATTTCCATGAACTAATGGTTATTTAACTGATTATGTTGCTGGAAACAACTACTCCAGCTATATCTACTAAACAGCTAAGATCATGCATTAGCCAAGACCACCAAACATATACCAGTTTCAGATTTCCCAATTATCCGTGATCTATCCCCAAGCCTCAATTGCTGCACGGACAATTAAAAAACTCGGATAATCGAAACATTTATTTTTTACATAAGAAACAGAAGTAAACATGTACAAAATCATTGAAGCTGCAATTTAGGTACATTTATTTCAATTATCTAGCTATACCTTTTAAACAGGCAATCATATTGGTCCATGTTACTTTTTCTGTTTTTCTTTATTTCCTGACAAATTTTAATATGTCGACTTAATCAAAATAACCTAACAGAATATTTGCAACTTCTTCAGATTAGAAGCGTTAGCACAAAACATATTATACGGTCTTTACTCAACAAAATCACAAAAAAACGCATCACAAATTACTAGACATAGCATGAATAATCCGCACCCTCAATAATCCGAGCAAGGATAATTGGGGTTCTACTATATTTTAATTTTGAGGTAAACAGTAAAATTCTCATAAATTTGTGTACGAATCTGCCTCTAACCTCATACCAAGTCGAAACAAATGTATGTTCAAGAATTCTAGGATATCTAACAACCCTGTAATGATCCAGCTATTTTTGACGTCTTAACTACAGACATGGAGTAAATATTAGTGCTGGCAAAAACCAGAAAAAAGTGAAACCGGTTAATTGGGTTTCGTAAAAACCGATTTCAGATAAAACCGGTTAGTCGAATAGTTGCTAAAACCGGTTATTCGAATAACCCGTTACTTGAATCGTCAAAACGTGATATCTGAAAATTGGTGCTTTACAAAGACAGACCCGGAGAAATTGATGTCTAAAAAAAAAGGTCTTTACAAAAATCTGGAAGTCAAATTTGTTTACGAAGAAATCGATCTCCAAAAAAAAAAAGAGGTCAATTGCAATCGGACAAATCGATGTCTAAAAAAAAGGAAGTAGATTATCGAATAATCGGTTATTTGAATAATCGGATATTTGAAGAATCGAATAACGGTTTTCGGATTTTATAAAAATCCGAATTACCCGAAACCGGTTAACCGACTATCCAAAAAACCGATTTAAGTTGCCAGCACTAGTAAATATATACATCACATAGCAGAGCATCTATAAATGGTCACTTACTCAATGCCTAGACCTTCATTATAGCCACACTGGCAGAGAGCAACCTGCAATTTTATATATGTTATGAAAGCACGGCCATTGTTAGAAACTAGTACTTTGCAGGTCTTGTCTATCGACAATATATGCTTGCATTGACCGAAATGAAATTTTACTAAAAGTTCACACATCTTATTAACTACAATCCTGTCCATATTATATACAGAGCGTAACTTTAAGTGGAATAGGGATCAATTTTCTAGGGGTAATATACATTTCCCCCAAAACACTAAACTAAAAACTATTTTTTTTATATCAAATAAATAGTGGAGTTATAATTCACATTAAACTGCACTTAGAGTAAAACTGCAGTGGAAAATAATCATGTAAAATCATAATTGCTTTTGTATGGCTTTGCGACATGTCATTTTAAAGTCACCATATTTTTCTGTCAATGCGAATAAAATTTTCAAGTTTAATTTTTTTGCATTATTTATTAAATACTAGGTACATTGTTTGTGAAAAGAAACTTATTAATTGTATGTAAGCTATGTTTAAAATGATTATTTTTGCTATTATGTAGATATTATATGTACATAAAAATAAATAAAAATACTTACTAATTTGATCAATTTGAAATAATTTTCTAAAGCACTGTATTTATTTTGTGAATCTTAGTGCCAATGACCTCTAACATTGACCTGGTTTAGGTGAACCACAGTATACTAATCAATCAGTAGGGAAAGTTACTCCCGCGTCTTCCATATTTCCACCATTTTGTTAGCGACTGACAGTAAATAGTTAATAATGAAATAAAAATTATAATAAACTTACATTTTAAAATATGTTTAGAAAATAAATACGCTTTCGTAAGTTTTTGAACAAAATTTATAAAATTCAGACCGATATAATCTAATCTAAATTATTTCTGCTGGAATTCAAATATCTAAACCTGTATTTAACCAAAAAATGTAAACTTCTCTTAATAAAAAAAACTCAATTTACGTGTAACACTACTACATAGCTAACAATCTCTTTATTACCTCGGATTATAATAATTAATCAGAAATTAATGTATAATACTTAAAAGTATTAAAACCAGGAAAAAGAACAGGTTATGTTTACTATGCTACTAGAGGTAGCATGCCAATGCGAAAAGTGTGGCTGAGAGACAGACAGTATCTCAGATATGCTGTCTCACTCTAGCACGCCGCGATTGGTTGAAGCATTCATTTCCAACCAATCGTGACGTGCTAGAGTGAGACAGGATGTACTGATGTACTGTCTGTTTCTCTCGCACACTCAGCCACAGTTTTCGCAATGGCATGCCTCTAGTAGTATATGCTCGAAGGATCCGCCATATTCTTAGCGACTTTTCCTAGGGTGGGGGTACTTAAAAATTGCCATACGGAATTCATTCTAAATCATTTAAGATTCCCTACTGATTGATTAGTATACTGTGAGGTGAACTACATAATATCAATATAGCTGATGTGATATGACAAGTTAGTGCTATGTACACAAAAAATAAACAGCCAATGTTAATATTAAAAAACAAGAATGGCTAAATGTCACCATTTTATTACATTTATTTTAGTTTCCAGTATCGATTTACAAGGTGTTTGTAATTTTATAACTTGCTGCATGAAATAAGTGTTTCTGTACTGTTTGTCTGCTTCACTTTTAATTTTCTGGGTTACATTATGAAAAAAACATATAAAAGAATCAAGAAAGACGAGATTTGATAACAATCCATGCCATAAAACACCTGGCTGTTTAGTCACTAATTATGAAAAAATGGATTAAAAAAATTCTGTGAAACAAACTCGTGTCTCTAAAGGTCAAAGTTAGCCTATGTAGAAAAACTCCCATTCAAAATTACACCCTGCATATTTTAATTATTTCTTTTTTCAATGTCAATTTCCAAATAAATGGAATTTATCAATTATCATTAATCAAGTTCTATAACTCCTTTCGAGTCGTATTATTACTCACCTGGCAATGGCTAAATTTTTCCTGGAACACGCCAACATAAGAGGAGTATTTCCTTGATCATCCTTGGCATTCAACATGGCTCCCTTTTCAACCAGCATCCTTACAACCTCCAGATTATTATTAGAAACGGCTGTGTGCACTAGATGATGTGAATGTACAAGTCTTGCTCCACTTTCTAATAAAATCTGTACGACGGGGGCATTGTTAGCCCACACTGCTAGACGTAATGGAGTAACTCCTCCAGGCTCTTCATGATTAACCCTAGCACCTGCCTTCACCAAGTATCTTATAGCTTCTTCGTTACCTTGCCTTACAGCCACCGTAAGCACTGATCTCTCTTCTATATCCACTACATTTATGTCAGCTCCTATAATTAAATTTAAATAATGGTCACACATATTAATTTACAATGGTGAGTGCATAAAATTTTCTTTATAAAAACCTAAGAATACACAAAAGGATACCGAAATCGTCAATACACTTTTTCGCAAACTACTGTGTATTAAAAATAGATATAATATAAAAGTGATTGATTACCTGCATCAACAAGAGCTTTTATAATCAGCAAATGAGCTGCTCTAGCAGCAATATGTAAAGAACTTTGCCGTTGTCTTCCTCCCATCGCATTTACATTTGCGCCTCTTCTCAACAACCATCTTACCATTTCGATATCTCCATTAGCCGAAGCCATATGTAATGGACTAAAACAACAAGCATCGTTTTGGTTAATGCTTAAATCTTTGCCAAGAGTGGCCATGAGATATTCCACCATGTCAATATTTCCCGAGTTGACGGCATAATGTAATACGCTCTGACCATGTCTATCAAGTCTACCGATATCCCTTTCAGGCGATTCAAGCATCACAGACGTACGATTTAAAATATTTGCATACCATTTATACATATTTATCTCACCATCTTCTACTACGTCTTCATCTAAAAACAGAGTGAAATTAAATCATTTGAATTTATCTAATTACTAAATTGTGTACCTGTGGAAAAATGTGATTCACTAACTTCCATGTCCCACTCTAAACCTTCCATACCATCAGGAGTGGGGCCATCCCCAAATTCTGTTTCATCCAAGTCCCTGCAAACTACAAAGTAACCGATATTTTTGTATCTTTTTTGGTTATCTGAATCGAGCTGCAAATACTGTGGCTTATTCTTATTTTCGTTTCTGTAGTCTGATAAAGATGAACAACAATGGTAATCTATTAGTATCTTTAATATCGATAAATTTCCAGTTTGTGCTGCAGCCCCCAGAAGAGTCATTCCATTTGAACAAATCTTATTCATACCCATACCTAAGAATAGAAGCATAAATAAATGAGTTTCAAAACTAATTATATTATTATTAACCTCCTGTTAAGCAACAACCAATAAATTTCATGTCATTTTCATATATTGCTTGCATAAGAAGTTCGTTAGGAGCTTCCATGGTTTTATTATTTATCACCTATGTACTTGTCTCAATGGCATATTTGTTCAGAAATTAACAAATGGACTATTAAGTAAATAAATGTACAAAAATTGTCACTTTTCGGATCTCCTTTTCACCAACCATTTTTTTTATACAAACATTACATCATTTCTTCTTCTTCCACCAAATAATATATTCATATTCAATTTAGAGATGGGTAGATCCAGTCACATAAGATAAATCTTCTGTGATCCAGTGGTGTGACAGTTCCTAGCGGGCAGCCGACCAGAGCACACGTGTTTTGTGAAAGTGTAGTGCAAGGAGCAA